AAATCTCATTCCTAGAGAATAAGTATTGTTGATCTCTGGAAGCGGTTCCGCGCGCTCTCGCCTCGACGTCGGCTGCAATTCCTCTGAAAAGGAGGCTCCCGCTCGAGCGTGGGCTTGAATGTACATGTGTGCCCTTGGAGGTCTGGCTACAACGACACCAGCTCCCGCTCGATACTTCCTCACACTTTGCCCTGAGACACCCTGGCCAGAGAGGCCCCCCGAACTCAGGAACGGCGCTCTCGCTCGAGGCATCATCGCAATTCAGTCAAGTTGGTGGAGGCCCAGCCACGACGACAAGGGCTCCTGCTTGATACTTCCTCGCGATTTACTCCGAGAGCACCTGGCCAGGGAAGCCCCCGAACTCAGGAACGGCGCTCTCGCTCGAGGCTTCCTCGTGATTAAGCCAAATTGGTGGAGGCCCAACTATGACGACAAGGGCTTGTTCGATACTTCCCCACGGTGTATTCCCAGAGTCCTTGGCCAGGGAGGCCCCCAAACTCAAGAGTGGCGCTCTCGTTCGATATTCCCTCGCAAGTCAGGCAAGTTGGTGGATGCCCAGACAAGGCGACAAGACTCCCCGTTCGATATTTCTCATCATGTATTTCGAGAGCCTCTGGCCAGAGAGGCCCCCGAACTCAGGAGCGGCGCTCTCTCTCGAGAGTACCTCGCACTTCAGTCAGTGGCCGAAAATGAAGATATCATCCCTGCAAGTGGGTGCGATAGAAGACGAAGTGGGCGGGTATCGAGGGTTGGGGTATACAGTATGCAAGACACGCGTGTCAGTAAAAGCGATCAGTCTGAATCTGAAGGTTGTTGCTGTTGTTGTTGTTGCTGCTGCTGTTGTTGTTGTTCTTGTTGTTGTTGTCGCCATCGTTGTTTGTGGTTGTTGTCGTGCTGTGATGTTGCTGTTGCGGTTGCTATCGCTGCTGTTGTTGTTGCTGCTGTTGTTGTTGCTGTTGCTGTTGTTGTTGTTATTGTTGTTGTTATTGTTGTTGTTTTTGTTGCTGTTGTTGTTGCTGTTGTTGTTGTAGTTGTTGTTGCTGTTGTTGTTGTCATCGTCGTCGTCGTCGTCATCGTCGTCGTCGTCGTTGTTGCTGTGATTGTTGTTGGTGTTGTCATTGTTGGTGTTGTGTTGTTGTTGTTGTTGCTGCTGTTGTTGTTTGTTGTTGTTGTTGTTGTTGGTGTTGCTGTTGTTCTTGTTGTTGTTGTTGTTGTTGTTGTTGTTGTTGTTGTTGTTGTTGTTGTTAGTGTTGTTGTTGTTGTTGCTGTTGTTGTTGTTGTTGTTGTTGTTGTTGTTGTTGTTGTTGTTGGTGTTGTTGTTGTTGTTGTTGTTGTTGTTGTTGTTGTTGTTGTTGTTTTTAGTGTTTTATGTTTTTCTTTTTGTTTTTTTGTATGTTTTTTTTTTTTTTTTTGGGGGGGGGGGAGGGGGGCGGTTGTTGTTGTTGTTGTTGTTGTTGATGCTGCATTTATTCCTGCTTGTGTCGTTCTTGCTGTTTGCTGATGATGCTGCTGCTGCTGATGATGATGATGCTGACGCTGATACTGTTGCTGCTGATGATGCTGATGAGGATGTTGTTGTACTTGTAGTTGTTGTTGCTGCTGCTGCTGCTGTTGTTGTTGTTGTTGTTGTTGTTGTTGGATTTCTCCACCTCCCCCTCCTCTGGTTCCCCCTCCCCTCTCCCCCTCCCTCCCCTCCCCCCCCTTCTCCTTCCCCCCTCCTTCTCCCTCCCCGCCCTCCATGCTCTCTTCATTGAGGGCCCCGTCGACAGGTGAAGCTTAACCAGACGCACCTGGAGGGAGGGTCGAACAACAACAAGTTCTACATCATTCAGGCGCTTCCCTCCCCCCCTCCCCTCCCTCCCCACCTCCTCCCCTCTCCTCCCTCTCCTTGCTCTCCCCCTTCCCTTTTCTTCTCCTCTCCCCTTCCCTTTCCGCTTCCTCCCCTTCCCCCGCTCCCTCCTCTGCTTCCCTGCCCCCGCTTTCCCCCTCCCCTCCCCCCCCCCCCCTCCTCCCTCCCCCCCCCTCCCGCCTGCCCGAGGGGGAGGGCAGATGAAGCCGCGGAGGGACGCGTAGCCGGCCTCGGTGGCCGCCCAGGTGACTGATGCCGAGCATCCCCAAACTCGGCTGCTCGATTCCACCACAAGCACTGGTTCCGCCCAGTGTGATTTCTCAAATCATTGTTCTTCTTATTCTCTCTCTCTCTGTTTTTTGTTTTTGTTCTCTCTCTCTCTCTCTCTATCTGTCTCTCTATGTATATACACACATACGTAGCGCCCCACAATTGCAGATAAGTGTGGGAACTGGCGTGGGGTGGGTCGCGGGTGGGGCGCGGGTGGGTCGCCAGTGGGTCGCGGGGTGGGTGGCGGAGTGGGTTGTGGGTGGGTCGCGGGGGGGACGACGACAACAACAAGCAGAACTCAGGCCACGGAATCCCTCTTCACACGCGCATTCAGGGATTGTGTCAGACCGCCCGGCTCTCGCACTTTGATCTATACCTCTACAGTTGAACCTCATAGTAAGGACGCACGGATGGCCTTAGGGCACCCTTGCGTCCTGGCCTTTGCGGCACGTCCTTCGCGGTTTTCACTGGCCAGCCTTCCAGGGTGTTGGCAGTCCGCCGCGCAAAAAGTGTCAATTTCGGCGTCCAAGGCCCTTGCGTCCTTACCGCCCATCCTGACCATAGATTTCGACTGTAGTCTCGGCTCAAGTGCCCGTGTGGCACGTTCCCCTCCCGCCCCAGCGAGACCGGCCGTGCCTGGTGGCACGAGGCTGGCAGCGCCCGCCCCGTCTCTTCGCTCGGCCGCCACGGCCGGCGCCTGCCGCGCCCGCAGTGCCGCCGCACCCCCTGCCCCCCACGGCCGCGGCCGCCACGACGCAGCACCTCAAGACGACACCGCCCTCGCTCCTGGAGGCGCGCGTGTGGCTTGGAGCTGGCAGGGGGTCTGAGGTGGCCTGGCACTGGTTGCGGCCAGCAGAAGGGTTCGGGGCAGGTTCGAGGCTCTGGGCTCGGCAAGATTTTTTTCTGTGCCTTGATCGGTCACAGCGGGCTGTTTCTGGGCCCCGTGACCATGAAACACGGATCTGGGGTGAAAAACCGCACCAGTTGGACCCCAGGATGGGTCTGCGGACTGGTTTGGAGTGGATTTGGCCTCGTCCCCCCCCCCTCTTTAGATGTTCCGGGTCCCCATCCAGTTCAGACCCCAGGCTCTGACCGCGCCTCAGTGGCGTCTGGCGTGATTGTTCACGCCAGCTGATCGGCACTCGAGGGCAAGTGCCAGGAGCTCAAGAGCATCCCTGACAAGCTTAGGGCCGCCCTCCTTAAGCTATGCTCCAAGCGTAATGCGTGGACCAAGCAGTGACGATGACTGCGTTGGTGATGCTGATAGTGACGATTGTGGTGATGATGGAGATGGTATCTGTGATGAGGACGATAATGGTCATGGTGATGTTTATGACGATGCTGATTGCTGCTGCTGCTGATGCTGATGCTGCTGCTGATGCTGATGCTGATGATGACGACGCTGATGATGATGATGATGATGGTGGTGGTGATGATGCTGATGCTGATGCTGATGATGATGATGCTGATGATGATGATGCTGATGACGACGATGATGATGATGATGAAGCTGCTGCTGATGCTGATGATGCTGCTGCTGATTATGGTTGTGATGATGATGCTGCGTGAGATTATGATGAATATTTTGCTAATGATGCTGCTGCTGCTGATGTTTTCGATTCTGATGATGATGGTGATGATCATGCTGATGATGATGATGCTGATGCTGATAATCATGCTGCTGCTGATGATGATGCTGATGATGATGATGGTGGTGGTGGTGGCGATGATGGTAATGGTGGCAGTGGTGATAATGATGCTGATGCTGATAATGATGATGATGATGATGATGATGATGCTGATGCTGATGCTGATGCTGATGCTGCTGATGATGATCTGCTGATGATGCTGATGCTGCTGCTGATGATGCTAATGCTGCTGATGATTCTGATGATGATGACGATGCTGATGCTGATGCTTATGATGATGCTGCTGATGATGCTGCTGCTGATGATGCTGCTGCTGATGATGATGATGCTGATGCTGATGCTGATGATGCTGATGCTGATGCTGATGCTGATGCTGATGATGATGATCATGATGCTGATGCTGATGATGATGATGATGGTGCTGATGCTGATAATGATGATGATGATGATGATGATGATGATGATGATGCTGATGCTGATGCTGATGCTGATGCTGATGCTGATGCTGATGCTGATGATGATGCTGATGCTGATATGATGCTGATGATGATGATGATGATGATGATGATGATGATGATGATGATGATGATGCTGATGCTGATGCTGATGATGATGCTGATGATGATGATGATGATGATGATGATGATTATGATGATGATGATGATGATGATGACGATGATGCTGATGCTGATGATGATGCTGCTGATGCTGCTGCTGCTGATGATGCTGCTGATGATGATGCTGATGCTGATGTTGATGCTGATGATGCTGATACTGATGCTGATGCTGATGATGCTGATGCTGATGCTGATGATGATGATGCTGATGCTGATGCTGATGCTGATGATGATGATGATGATGATGATGATGATGATGATGATGATGATGATGATGGTGATGATGATGACGATGCTGCTGATGCTGATGATGATGATGATGATGATGATGATGATGATGATGATGCTGATGATGCTGATAATGATGATGAGGAGGAGGAGGAGGAGGAGGGGTAGGATGATGATGATGATGATGATGATGATGATGATGATGATGATGATGATGATGATGATGATGATGATGATGATGGTAGCCTTCATGGAGTAGTCGCGCAGAGCGCGAAGTACCGCTTCACGGGGCGCTACCCACGACTCGCGTCGTGCCTACTAGAACCCTGGCTCCGCAGAATGACATGGAGGTTCGAACAGGGCGCGGCAGCAGGGCGCACGCGCAGCGTGGAGCGCGAGGTGAAGCCGCCGTTATCTCCACACCAGGTCCACACGAACGACGCATGACGGGGAGAAGCACAACGGCCATCTTCAGCGCAAGGCGGAAGCGAAGGCTGAAACCAAAGGCATGCAAGTACTTGCGAGGAAAGAGAAGCAGCAGAGCAGGCGCATTCTCGAAAGATGCCGTGAAGCTGTGCAAGGCTGGCGCTGCAGAGTGCGGCTTGCTCGTGCGAGGTGCGTCTTGTTGGGACAGAGCTGCGCCCGCCACGCGCCCTCAACCTTTGTGTTGCTTCACTGCTTACTAGAGGAGGCGGCCTGGGATTGGAGCCATGCGCTTCGTCGCCGTGGATATTCTGGCCTCTGATTGATGACCGCGACGCCTATCGCTGGCGAAACCATGCAGGTGTGACAGGGGCTTCTTCATGGTGGCGGTGACGCAGCTCTCGATGCCAACGCCAGAAGACGTGGGCGAGTGCGAGCGTGGCCCATTGAGGGGATGGACGTGTGAAGCAAGTCCTGCCTCCCTCGTGGAGTAGACCGTGTCGGGGATTACACAACGGGCGTCAGCGCAAACGGGGGTCCGCTCATCCCCCCCGGCAGACTACGGTTTGGGAGCCGCTTCCCCCCCACCCCGCCGCCCCTTTCTCCCCCCCCGCTGCCCTGGGTCTGGGAGCTGCGGAGCGGCCGGCTGGGCTTCGCGACAGGGCCCTGGCCGACCTGGTCGACCTGCTGGCCCTGGACAGTGCGTACCCAACGCGGAGGAGGAGGAGGAGGAGGAGGAGGAGGAGGAGGAGGACGAGGAGGAGGAGGAGGAGGAGGAGGAAAGAAGAATAATAATAATACTAATAAAAATAACAATACTAATACGAATAATCCGAAGAATAAGAAGACGAATCATAATTATACGAATAAGAATAATAATACTCAGGATAGTACTAATAATAGGAATAAGAAGAGTAATACTAAGACGAATACGCATAATAAGAAGACTAATACGAATAATAATACGAATAAGAAGAATAATACAACTAAGAATAAGCATAGTACTAATACTAATAATACTAAGACGAATAAGAATAATAATAAGAATAAGAATAATAATAAGAAGAAGAAACATAAAGTAATAATAGTATTAATATGAAGAATAATGAGAAGAAACAGGAACACAATAATCATATTAATAAACATGAAAATAATAAGACTAAGAAGCATAATAAGACTAATAAGAATACTAAGAAGCAGAAACATAATAATAATAATAATAAGACGAAGAAGACACATACTAATAAAACGACGCATACTAAGTATAAACATAAGAAGAAGCAGACGAATAAGACGAATAATAATAATATTTAAGAATTAGAAGAAGAGCAATAAGAAGAAGACGAAGAAGCATACTAATAATCTTAAGAGGAAGAAGAGGACGACGCCGAAGCCGTAGAAGAAGAAACATAATAATAATAAGAATATCAAGAAGAAATAATAAGAATAATAATACTAATAAGAAGACTAATAATACTTAGAAGACGAATAAGAAACATAATCCGAATAATAATAATAATCATAAGAAGACGAATAATATTACGAAGAAGAAGAAGACGAATCATATTACGAATAATGATACGAAGAAAAATATGACTAATAATACTACTAAAAACAAGAATAATAATAATACGAATAATATTAATAGTAATACTGATAATAAGAATAGTAAGAATAATTACATTAAGAAGAAAGTATTAATAATGATAATACTGATAATAATGTTAGGAAGAATAATGATATGACGAATACGAATAATACGTTTAATAATAAGAAACATAAGCATATTAATAGTAATAATACTAAGAATAATAAGAATACCAATGCGAATAATAATACTAATATTACGAATCATATGAATGACAATAAGAATAATACTAATAAGAAGAAGAAGCATAGCAATACTAATACTAATAAGAAGAATAATGATACTACTAAGAAGAAGAATAATACTACTAATACTAATCATAATAACAATAATAATACTAATAAGAGGAATACTAAGAATAATAATAATAAGAATAATAATAAGAATAATAATAACAAGAATAATAATAAGGATGATACGAATAATAATAATAATAGTAATAATAATAGTAATAATAATACTAATAATAATAAGACTAAGAAGAAGAAGAGGAGGAGGAGGAGGAGGAGGAGGAGGAGGAGGAGGATGAGGAGGAGGAGGAGGAGGACCCTCTACGCACCAGGCCTACGTGGCCCATTGAGCTTCTCGAAGCTGCCCTCGGGTTCCTCGGGCGAGGGCCCTTCGCCTCGCCAGGCAGCGCCGAGAGGGGGGCGGCCCTGGGCGGCCGGCGGTGCGGCCAGCCGGGGCGCCCCGCGGGCGTGCACCTCGTCCTGCTGCCGCAGTGCTGGTGGATGTGCCTCTGCCCCTTGCTGGGGCCGTCGATGAGGCCGCTCCCCGCAGCGTGCCCGGACGACTTCTGCGAGGGTGCTGGCCCTGATTCGGGCTGGCGCCGTGCCGAGCGACCCCCCATGGCGCAGACTGGGTCCGCTGCACGGTCACCACCTTCTCATCGACGGGGTTGCCAGGGAACGGGGGGTTCAGCGCGACAGGGCTCGACGTCTTCTTACGGGCGCCGCACGTGGCGCAGAAGAGGTACGTCAGACCGTGCCACGGCGGAGGCGAAGCTGTAACTTGTGACCGCTCGTCTCGTGACCCATCGGCGCGACTACCTACGGCCGCAGTGCAGGCGTGCGGAGCGTCACTGCTCGTCTGGAACCTGCGGCAACTCCATGATCCTGTAGATCATCAGGTCCTCCTTCACGCACCCACGATGGGGCTCCACCAGGCAACTATTCGCCTCAATGCCATTGGTTCACGCCAAGGTGTCTCGCGTCTGGGAACGCGCTTACGATGTCGGCGTCCGTACGCAGATCAGTGTCACGACCTGCAGGTGCCTCCGCAGGTCGCTCCACAGGTGGCGGACTTTGAAGAGACGACAACATCTTCTTCACCTTGTCCAGCAGCAGGGCCAGGTGATAGATCCGCTGGAACGTCACGAGGGATCCCCTGCCCCTTATCATCCTGCATCGGCGCATCTTCAGCCTGGCCTGCGCCGCCAGGGCCACCTTCTGCGAAAGTGTGGCCGCCAGGGTCCTCCTCGACAGTCAGGTCGTTGGCGTCGGGCTGGCGGGCATAGGCCGCTCGATGCGCATCCAACGCTTCCTGAGGGTCCACCACATCGCGCACGCGTGGCGGTTGGCCGCGATGAGATGACCGTCACGTGCATGGTGCATGGGCACCGAAGGTGCGATCCTGGTGATACCACGACCGTGCAGCAGGACTGCGGCCCGCCAGCGCCTGACTCCGAGACCGACCCGAGGAGGGTGAACCCTTGCGTAGCAGCCGCTCGTGCCCGCCCTTGGGCTGTCGCCAGGCGGCTGCATACACGGTCCAGGGTCTGAGCCCCCCTCCCCCTCATGCTGATGCCATCAGGCCCCCCCCGCGCGATGGTCTCCACCCCCTGTGGGTGTGGGTGTGGTGCTGTGGGTGTGGCGTGTGTGGCGTGACACTGGTGCTCCAGGAGAGCTCCAGAGGTCGTCGTCGTCGCCGCCGCCGCCGCTGTCGCCGTCGTCGGAGGGCTCTGGAGGTCGGCGGCGCCGCCGCCGCCGCCGCCGTCGTCGTCGCCGTCGTCGTCGTCGTCATCGTCGTCGTCGTCGTCGTCGGCGCCGTCGTCGTCATTGCCGTCGTCGTCGTCGTCGCCGTCGCCGTCGTCGTCGTCGTCGTCGTCGTCGTCGTCGTCGTCGTCGTCGTCACCGTCGTCGTCGTCGCCGTCGTCGTCGTCGTCGTCGTCGTTGTCGCCTTCGTCGTCGTCGGCGTCGTCGTCGTCGTCGTCGTCGTCGTCGTCGTCGTCGTCGTCGTCGTCATCGTCGTCCCCCCCCTTCCCATCAGGGGGGAGGGGGGCCTGTAGCCCTGGGACCCATCCCATCTGTGGGGGGGCCGTGGGCCCGGAGCCCTGCATCATACATGCCCACTCGCCAAGCTCTCGCGCTGCCGCTCGGACGGGACGGCGCCACCGACCCACGACGCGGGCATGCAGACAGTATTCGAGGGCAGCCTGGTGACGTCTGGCACGCAGAGGTCCCTTCACTCGTGCTAGTCCTGGTCCGCGTCGCCAAGGCCGACGTGGTGGTGCCAGCAGCTCGCCCAGAGGGCCATGACCTCCTGGAAGGTGTCCACCTCGTCACACGCCTGGTGGATCGGCGGCATCACCAAACGCGGGCCCACGGCCATGTCGGCAGGCGGCGTCTCATGAAGGTGCCACGTGCTTGGCGCTAGCTCGACCGAGGCGCACATGCCGAACTGCTACGCCGATAACCTTCGTCCAGCCGCGAAACCGTCGGCGACGGCCTCTTCGGGCGTCTGGGCAGCGGCGGCCTGCGAGGCAGCAAGGCTCGCCATGGCCGGCTGGGCTTGCGGCGGCGGGCTGCGGTCGCTATCATTAAGCAAGCGGTGTCGCACGGGTGAACGAAACTGCTTCCGCGCGTGTTGGTGTCGCGGGAAGCAGCAGTAGGCCCCTCCCGAAACCTCAGGCCACAGTCCTGTGATGATGATGGCTATGCGGCTGCTGCTGCTGATGACGATGATGATGCTGCTGCTGATGATGATGATGATGATGATGCCTATGAAGACGATGATGATGCTGCTGGTGATGCTGTTGATCATTGCGATGCTGCTGAGGATGCTGACGAGGATGGTGATGACGATCACGATGGTGATGCTGATGATGATGATCATGATGATGATGGTGATGCTGATGATGATGATGGTGATGATGATGATGATGATGATGATGATGATGATGATGATGATGATGATGCTGATGATGATACTGATGATACTGATGATGATGATGATGATGATGATGATGATGATGAAGATGATGATTCGGATGCTGATGATGATGCTGCTGCTGCTTGTGCTGCTGCTGCTGATGATGATGATGATGATAATGATGGTGGTGGTCGTGGTGGTGGTGGTGGTGGTGTCGATGCTGCTGATGATGATTGTGAGGATGATGAGGATGATGCTGATGCCGCTGATGGCGTTTTTGAGGTAATGATGATGCTGATGATGATAATGTTGATGATGATGAAGATGATGGTGTTGATCATGCCGATGACGATGCTGGCGACGATGCTGCCGATGCTGATGCTTATGACAGCTATACTGCTGACGATGATGATGCAACTGACGATAACGATGACGGCGATATTGATGATGCTGATAATGATGCTGCTGATGACATTCCTCGACACATGGGCGCCTCCCAGCGCTAAAAGGCGCCAGGAAATCCAGCTACGTGAGCTGAATCTCTACCCTACTCCGAGTTTCATAATATGCGTCGGGGGGTACCCCTCTGACGGGGATCGACCTCGCCTCGTCGTCGCGCCGCGACGGGGGTCGGAGCGCCTTCGGCGCGCGGTGGCTGCCCGCGACGGGGATCGATGTGGCGCTGTCGGCGGGGGTGACGCACCCCCCGACGCTTATTAAGAAACTCGGAGTGCCCTATGCTGTCCTGCCCCTTCGCCCCCCCCCTCCCCGAGAGGTGCTGGAGGGTGACGGCAAGTACTTCGCCTGGAACCGCTGGGGCCGCGTGGGCGAGCCAGGGCAGAGCAAGCTGCAGGCGTGCGGCGGCCTCGCGCAGGCGGCCCAGGAGCCCCGGACGCCCTGCGCCTCCTGGCGCTCGTCGTCGTCGTCGTCGTCGTCGTCGTCGTCGTCGTCGTCGTCGTCGTCGTCGTCCTCGTCGGCGGTCTTCTACGAATTTCGAAGGTTCTCGGAGGTCTTCGGAGTTTTTGGGAGGTCGCTGGAGGTCCCCGGAGGTCTTCGGAGGCTTTCGGCTTTCTCGGATGTTCCCAGAGGCTCCCAGGGGCTCACTGAGGTTCTCGGAGGTCGTCGTCGTCGTCGTCGTCGTCGTCGTCCCCGCCGAGCCCCACGCCTTTGCTCTGCGTCGACCCATTTCCATGCTTCCGTTTGCAAGGCTTCGAGGGGCTCCTCAGGACGGCGAGCCGTCTCTGCCGGGCGGGCCGCGCGCGGGGGCCCAGGGCAGAGGGCATCGCCAGCGCGCGAGGGGCTAGGGTGTGTGTGTGTGTGTGTGTGTGTGTGTGTGCAAGTGAGCTGGCCCAGACCGCGTGCCGCTCTCCGCTTCACTTGCTGTACGCGTTGAATTCTTACGTGTTGTAGCAGGGCAGTTGGAGCGACCGGATAAGCCCCACTTTTGTGTTTGAAGGGGCTCGGTGATCTTTGTTCCTTGATTCAAGTGGCTCACGCCATTCCACCGACCCCCATAAGGAGTGGGTGTTTGAGACGATCGTGGGGGCGTCTTGGAGGCCTCCTGGGGCTTCGTGGAGGGCCCTCGGAGGTCTCTGGGGGGCTCGAGGAGCCATCTCAGTGGAACAGAGTCGAAATGTCAGTTGGTATTCCCCCTCTGGGGCTTTCTTGTAGCCCTCTTGGGGTCCCTCAAGGGGCTGTCTTTGGCCGTCTTGCGGAGCCCCTGCGGCTGTCTTTGGGCCTTCTTGGGCCGTCGTGGGGCCTTTTTGGAGGCATCATGGGCTGTCTTGGGACGATCTTGGGGGCCACTTGGGCCGTCGTGTTCGCTGTCAAATGTAAAATGCGAATGTTTTGAAAAGGCACGTCCTCCCGAAGGAATGGGATGATTTTGGCCTCTTGTGGCCCTCTTGGCGGTCCACTCGAGGCGCTTTTGGGCTGTCTTGGAGGGCCTCGTGGGCCATCTTGAAGCCATCTTGGATCGTGGCGGGCCTACCCTGGGCCGTCATGACGCTCTCTTCGACTGTCTTGGCGATCTGTCTGGGCCCTGTTGGGGCTCGGTTTTCCTTTGTTCCTTACTCCAGTTTTTCTTTGCTGCTCTTTGTGCATCTTTGCGCAACTGAGGCCCTAAAGGTGCTTCGCTCCTCACCCAAGGTTCTACACGGCAAACTTTCACTGCAGACTCTTGCGCGCGGTCTGCTGCTTCTACCGAGCGCTGGACCCCCCTGGCGGCGCCTCCGGCGCCGCCCCTTGCGCGCGGGGTTCCAGCGCCGACCGCAGACCTCCGAAAGCTGATGCCCGTGCAGCTTTCTGTTATGTCAGAGGAGCTGGCCTAGCTCCCCTGCGGGTTCAGCGTGCTCTGATCGCCTCGGGATCTTGCAAGGGGGGGCTCAGCTGTGGACCCCACCCCGCCTGCCAGCCTCGGATCAAGGGAGGAAAAACCAACCGGACCGGACAATTTGCGTTTACTAAACGGCCCTGGGCGTTTATTAAACAGCCTTGCCTTGTTTGATTCTTTCTTTGGGCGCGTTTACTAAACGGCTTCGCGTGTCGGGGTGGTCATTCTCGGGGTTGATTTTCTGCCCTCTAGCGGAGGAGTTCGAGAAAAAGTTCAGGGAGAAGACTCAGAACCCCTGGTCCCAGCGCGCGAACTTCAAGCCGGTCAATGGCAAGTGCTCGGCTCAGCGGGTGTGCCTCACGTCCTCCCTCTTGTTCGTGGAGTCGCTGTGCTTCTGTTGAGGCTGTTGCTGCTCCACCTCCTCCTCTTCCTTCGCCGCTCCCTTTCCCTCCGCCTTCCTCCTTTGTCTCATCTCATCTCGTTCCTTCCTCTTCGCTTTTCTCCCCTCTCCTCGTCTTTCTCCGCTTATCTCGTCTCGTCTCATCTTCTCTCCCTTGATTTCAGATCTTCTCCCCTCTCCTCCCCCCGCTCCCCTCCTCTCCTCACTCCTCTCCTCTCTCTCCTCTCTCCCCTCCTCTCCTCCCTCCTCGCTTCATTCCTCTCCTCTCTCCTCTCTCCTCTCTTCCCTCCTCTCCTCTCCCCTCTCCCCTCTCCCGTCTCCCCTCTCCTCTCTCCTCTTTCCTCTCTCCCCTCTCCTCTCTCCTCTCCCTCCTCTCTCCCCTCTCCTCTCTCTCTTCTGTCTCCCCTCTCCTCTCTCTCCTCCTCTCTCCTCCTCTCTCCTCTCTCTCCTCTCTCTCCTCCTCTCTCCTCTCTCTCCTCTCTCTCCTCTCTCTCCTCTCTCTCCTCTCTCCTCTCCCTCCTGGACGCCTGGCCAGCGCCCCTCGCGGCCTCGGCGCCTCTGCCGACCCCCTGCCCGGCTCGCCCGCGCCGAGGGCGCACCGCGCCCCCCAAGGAACGGCTCGGCCGGGGGCAGCGGCTCCGGGTCCCGCAGCCCCGGGGAGAGGCGGGAGGAGAACGGGGGAGCAAGGGCTCCCCCGAGGGCGCGAAGTTATTCGCGCTTCGCGCTTCGCGGTCCTCGTTTCTCCTCCCCCTCCTCCTCGTCCTCCTTTTCTCCCTTTGGGGGGGCGGCGCGAGGGCGCGAAGTTATTCGCGCTTCGCGCTTCGGGGAGCGCGAAACGCGAAGTTGGGAGCCCTAGAGAACGGGGGAGGGGCGGCGACCACAAAGGGTACGGGTACGGCTACGCCGGGGTGTGGTTGGCGATCGGCACCGCTGGGGCCTGGGGGGCACGGCACTCTCCTCGTCGGGCCTCCTCGGGGCGCGGGAGAGCTCGCGCGCCCCCCAGGGTGCCTCCATCCAGGTTCAACCCGGGGCAGCGGTTCCAGGTCCCGGAGCGAGGGAGAGGCCGAGGATCGATCGAGGATCGAGGATCGAGGATCGAGGATCGAGGATCGATCGATCGAATCGATGAATTCGATGGATCGAGCGATCGAGGATCGAGGATCGATCCATCGAGGATCGATGCTCGAGCGAGGATCGATCGAGGATCCATCGAGCGGGGGACCAGGCATCGAGGATCGATGATCGAGGACCGAGGGGGAGACGCGTCGAGGCTCCTGCGCACCTGCCCCGGCAGGAGGCGGCCTTTTACCCCCCGCAGCGGGCCGCCGCGCGAGGGCCGAGGGCCTCCTCCGCTCCCCTGCCCCCCCCCGTGCCGGCGGCGGAAGCAAAGCCACGGCTTCAGTCAGGAGGGGAAAAATCAAACAGACACAAAAAATCGTCGATTCCCAAGAAAATACAGGAAGATATTGGAAGTGGGGGGGAAGACAGAAACCGAGAAAATATGGAACATATGGGGAATCCTGTTATTTGTGTGTATTTACTTGTGTGTCCCAGGGCCCCTTCATCATCCTCGGCTTCTCATGGCGCCAGCATCGCAGAGCGGATCTCTCGTTCGGAAAACGGGCAGGATGGGCCCAGAGTGTCCTGGAGAATTTTTCGTTCCGGCTTTCGAGGTGAATTTCGTAAGGATTTTTTTGTTGGCCAGGACTGAACAGTACACAAAATCCACGTGCAATTCACTTCGTCCTTCACTCGCCGTTCCAGGGTTTAGCATTGACAGAAATCCACGCCAACAATCCGTGCAGCACGGCTGCAAGGTCGGTGCAGTGATCTTCCTCGTTCCTCCTTCTTTCTCCTCCTCCTCCTCCTCGTGGTTTGCAGGCGGTTTCGCGTCCTGCACCCCCCCGGCAGTGCCGCCCCTGGCAGACTTTCGAGGGCATCCGAATTCCGAGTTCCGAGTTCCGAGTTCCTCCTCCTCGCTCCTCCTCGCTCCCCAGGCTTCTTCATGCTCTTCCGTTTCCCTTCTCGGGCCGGCCGCCGGGCGAGCACGAGCTCCCGTGGCGTCAGTAAGACTTCAACATGTTTGAGGCGGTCGGCCATATCCTTCCCGACGAGGTTTGGCGCGTGGCCGCACTCGGCTACAACAGATGACTGGGGACAACGAGCTCCCGTGGCGTCAGTGAGACTTCAACATGTTTGTGACAGTCGGCCACATCCTTCCCGACGAGGTTTGGCGCGTGGCTGCACTCGGCTACAGCAGATGATTGGGGACGGTTGGCAACCCGTTTCGTCATCCACGCGTCTTCCAGCGCCCAAGCGGCACCGTCACTCCGAGTGGGCTGCTGGTGCACCTGACCGTCTTTTGTGGGGCCGCGACCTCGCCCGCTCTCCGCCCTTGAGCGGCCTGTGCGACTGCCCGCTCGAGCTCTCCGTTCTCGGATCTGTGTGCCCGGCGGCCCCGCCGCGCGCTCAGAAATCTCGTAGTGTACGCTCCGTGGCGGGCGCTTTCTGGCCAACGCCGCTCGATAAACGATATATACTACAGTGGGGGCCCATGCCAAGAAACACCCTGCTTGTCTCCAGGGTGCCCTGGGCTTCTTGGGTTTCGATGGTTTTGCAATGGAAAGTGTGACGTTCTCACGCCAAAAGTCGATAGACGTCCTGGGGTCTCAGGGTTGTGTTTCTTGTGGAAGATTTCTTGTGGTCGGGCCCCTACAAAATACGCTCCGTGGCGGGCGCCTTCTGGCCAACACCGCTCGGTGTGTGTATATAAGTATACACACACACCAGGAGACTTGTGCACCACATGGTCATGTCGGACGTGCGCCTTCGACATCAGCGCACGGTACTAGCATTCGGCAGCAAATCATGGGAGCCCTGGTATACCGTCGTAATTCCGTCTTTGCGTCGATTAGCGTCGATTAGCGTCTGAGAGTCGATGAGATAGCGCCGATTTGGCGTCGGCTTGCGTCGACTAGCGTCGATTCAGCCTCGAGTAGCGTCGACTAGCGTCGGTCAGCGTCGCTTCGCTTAAGCCGACAAGATGGTATGGGAGGCACCCCTGCGTTGCCACCGAACACGGCACTGGCACGGGCATTCCTCAGGAGGGAAACAACACGCAGGCACAATTATTCGTCGATTCCCAGGAACATATGGGAAACCATGGGAAGTGGGGGGAAGCCGGGCACCCAGAACATGGTGGAACATCTGGGGGAAGACTCCCTGGGAGTAGTGTCTATTTCTCTGTGTGTTCCCAGGGCCCCTGTGATGCCCTCTGCGCCCCGCGTGCCGTCCCGCCCTGGCACGGTCCGGCGCGGGCTGCCGCCCCCGGCGCGGCTCCGTGGCCAGCCCGAGGAGGCCCCCCCGCGGCTCCCTGCCCTCCGGGCGGCCGTCGCGCCCCTGCCTCGGCAGCGGCCGCCATCTCCTGACAACATCCCCCCTGACCCTCGGCCCTCCTCGTCGTCCTCCTCCTCGTCCTCCTCCTCCTTCTCTTCCTCTTCGTCCTCCCCCTCCCCCTCCTCCCCCTCCTCCCCCTCCTCCTGCTCCTCCTCGTCCTCCTCGTCCTTCTACTCGTCCTTCTACTCCTCCTCATCCTCCTCGTCCTCCTCGTCCTCCTCCTCCTCCTCCTTCTCGTCCTCGTCCTCCCCCTCCTCCTCCTCGTGCTCCTCCTCCTCCTCCTGCTCCTCATCCTCCTCGTCCTTCTCCTCGTCCTCCTACTCCTCCTCGTCCTCCTCGTCCTCCTCGTCGTCCTCCTCGTCCTTCTCGTGCTCCTCGTCCTCCCCTCCTCCTCCTCCTCCTCCTCCTTCTCCTCCTCCTCCTCCTCCTCCTCCTCTTCGTCTTCCTTCTCTTGTGGCCACACGAAGTTGGCGAACAGGTCAATGTGCCGAGATGGGGCGGAGTCCGAGAGTAGCGCATCGTCTAATCTAATGTGATATCCTCCTCCTCCTCCTCCTCCTCCTCCTCCTCCTCTTCCCTCCTCCTCCTCTTCTTCTCTTCCTCCTCTCGGATCCGGGCGTCGCAACACAGAGGGGGCCGAGATCCCCGGTCGGGAGCCTTGAGCAAAGGGGGGTCAGTCAGTGCCTAGAGCCTTGAGCCCCGAGGTCAGTGCAAAGGGGGATCAGCCAGAGCGCCGAATCCTGCAGGATCCTGCAGGGCCAGGGCTGCGCTGACCCGGGTTCGCGCGCAGCATCCTGCAGGAGATCCTGTATTTTGTAGGATTTTGCAGGAGCCTGCAAAGCCCGACTGGCCTGGGTTTGCATGGACCCGGGTCGGTGCGTCCCCGACCTGGGGACCCACGCCAGGAAAAGGTGCGACGTGCGAGGAGGGCTCCCTCTGGCCCCCCATCGTCCGTCCTCCCAGCCTCCGTCCTCCCTCCTCCGTCCTTCCCTCCCTCCGTCCTCCATCCTCCTGCTACCTCCTCCGCCCTCCGTTCTCCTCCTGTTCCCTTTATCCCTCCCGTAGAGATTCCCGGTTGGCGCTGACGATCTCACGGTCGAGGAGGTGATTGCAGCGGCAAAAAAGATCAAGTGGGGGAAGGCGCAGGGCCCAGACGGCGTGCCGGGGGACCTCTGGAAACCGATCTGCACAAGAGACTCACCAGCACGCTCATGGGCACTGGCACTGCGCCAGAAATGTTGGGCAGACGGGGCTGTTCCAGACGCCGGGCACGAATCCCTCGTCACGGCGATCTTTAAGAAGGGTGACCCCGGATTGTGCGAAAACTACAGGCCGATCTACCTACTTCAAGCTGATTACAAACTCTACGCCGCAGAGGCTCAAGGCCGCGGGAGCGGAAGACCGCGTGTGGAGCACGCAGTTCGGCTTCAAGTCGAAGCGCGGCACAGCCGACGCCATCTTCCTCGCCAGGAGGAACCTGGATGCAGCCTGGGCCGCGCGAGACGGGCAGCTCGTTCTACTGGCGCTGGACTGGGCGA